TGTCCCCCGTGCCCTGTCCGTCCCCCGTGCCCTGACTGTCCCCCGTGCCCTGACTGTCCCTCATTCCCTGACTGTCCCCCATGCCCTGACTGTCCTCTGTGCCCTGACTGTCCCCCGTGCCCTGACTGTCCTCTGTGCCCTGACTGTCCCCCGTGCCCTGTCTGTCCCTCATTCCCTGACTGTCCCCCATGCCCTGACTGTCCTCTGTGCCCTGACTGTCCCCCGTGCCCTGACTGTCCCCCGTGCCCTCCCCTGCAGTGCATCACCGACTGGCACCGGCAGAACGGCTTTGCCAGCTCTCTGGAGCTGCCTGACAACACGCTCAACTTCGCCAAGAAGCACCCGCTGATGGACGAGCCGGTGCCACCCCAGCGCGGGCGCCCGCTGCTGCTCAAGAAGGATGCCAACTTCACCCAGCTCGTGGTGGACCGGGTGGCCGGGCTGGATGGGACCACCTACGAGGTGCTGTTCATCGGCACAGGTAATGCCAGGGACACGGCACAGAGGGACAGGGTGCCATGGACCGTGTGGCTGGGTTGGACAGGGTCACCTACCAGGTGCTGTTCATCGGCACAGGTAATGCCAGGGACAGGGCACAGGGAAAGGGCACTGAGGAGACAGGGGGCACAGGGCACAGAGGGGACAGAGAGACAGGGGTCACAAGAGGCAGGGGGCACAGGGGACAGGGTGCCATGGACAGCATGGCCGGGCTGGATGGGGCCACCTACGGGGTGCTGTTCATGGGCACAGGGGTAGGGGGCACAGGGATAGGGGACAGGGCGTTGAGGGGACAGGGGGCACAGGGGACAGGGCACAGAGGGGACAAGGGGGCACATGGGAGAGAGGGACAGGGTACAGAGGGGATGGGACAGAGGAACAGGGCACAGAGGGGACAGGGCACAGAGGGGACACGACAGAGGGAGCAGAGCACCACGGGGACAGGGCATTGAGGGGATAGCGGGCAGAGGAGACAGGGCACCAGGGGACAGGGCACCAGGGGACAGGGCTCTGAGGGACAGGGCACCAGGGGACAGCCCGCAGGGTGCCCCGTCCCTGAGTGCCCGCCGTGCCCGCCCGCAGGTGACGGCTGGGTGCACAAGGCGCTGGATTTGGGCTCCCGCATCCACCTGGTGGAGGAGCTGCAGGTGTTCGAGCCGGCACAGCCCGTGGAGAGCCTGGTGCTGGCGGGCACCAAGGTGAGCGTGGCAGGGGTGGCGGTGGCACCGCGGTGGCATCGGGAGCGTCCCCTCACCGCTGTGTCCCCCCGGCAGAAGCTGCTGTTCGCCGGGTCCCGCCTGCAGGTGGCACAGCTGCCCCTGGCAGAGTGCGGGCGATACCAGTCCTGCACCGACTGCGTGCTGGCACGGGACCCCTACTGCGCCTGGAGCCGCAACGGCAGCGCCTGCGTGCGCACCGACGGGAACAACGGG